CCCCCCGCCCCCCCGCCCCCGCCCCCACCCCGGCCCAAGCTCTCAAGGCGCACTCACAGCGCTGCCATGAGCGCCTCCTGCTCCGCCTGCCTCACAGCCGCCAGCTCCTGCTCCCGGCTCAGACCCGCGCTGTGCGCCCGGCCCTTGGCGTACCAGGTGAGGTCACGGCCCTTCTGCCAGCGGCCCACCGGGGCCATGAGCGAGTTGCCTGCGGGGAACGGAGCGCCGAGTACTCGGCACGGCCCGCGGGTCGGCGCACCCCCAGCCCGCGAGCCCCCCGTCCCTGCGCCCCGCTCACCCAGGTAGTTCTCCCTCTGCTTATCAGTCTTCACATCCTCCCAGCTGAACTGGTCCTGCCCGCCGCGCACGCCGCCCCGGCTGGAGCCGAACATGGTAACAGGCAGCCCTCTACCTCCGGACTTCCCGGTACCCAGGCCCCACAGGTCCCCGCTCCTACTTACGCGTCGCACGTGGTGACGTCACGCCCGCGCCAAACCCGTGCGCTTGCGCTCTGTTCCCCTTCACCTCCCGAAGGTGCCCCACCCTGGCGCGCCTGTGCCTCAGTGCCGGCCCCCGAGCGCTTGCGCACTGCCGCGGGCCCAGCGGCGGCACTGGCAAAGGTGCGGAGGCTGGACCCGGGCACCCCAATGACAGGACAGCCGTTATTAGAAGTCACATTATGTGGGTGACGCCCCAGAGTCACTGTTCCCATTGTGTGCCGTGTTCCCTTGGCTGTGCCGGCAGAGGGCCAGGCACTGGAGAGACGTCTGCAAACCCGCACTAAGTTTCCCGGCTATAGCTGCTTGAGGTTTCTATCAGGTAGCAGGCTGCCCCCAGAGACAGGGAGCCGCCAAGGTCAGGTCGCGCCTGCACCGCTCGTCCTCCGCCCTCGGGGGTACCGGCTGTGTCCAGTTCCCAAGGAAGCACACCTCATCGCGTTCGTTCCCCAGACAGCGCAGAGAACGCCTCAGTCACCCACAAAGTGTTGGCAGATGCTCCTCATTCGGCACCGTTTCGGTCATTGCTGCTGTCAGGTGATGGCTCAGTATCCGAAGTAAACTGAGCTAGTTGTAGGGCAAGCGCGTTCCGTTTATCACCGCAGCGAACCAGACTAGATTCAGTGATAACGGTGCTAAGTGAGTGGAGGCGTGCCACTCTATTAGCCAACCCCTGCTGAATTGAAAACGTAGGGTGAACAAACGTTCTCTGAGGAATTTATAGCAAGGTGTCAAGAGTGTTATTCTGTATGCCCTTTGTATTAGTCCTTTCACAAGACACTGCCCTCCTGCAGGTTACTCAGTGAATTCACCTGATGGGCTGGCAGGACATTAAGTGAAAAGAGGCCTTTCACCTGGCCTTCCTCTGAACCTGCTTTCTCGGGGAATCCCTCACTTGCCTGATGGCTGCTGGGGGCATCCTCGAGCAAGCCAGGTTGGCAGGGCCTGGAGTGGACACCTGCTGTGGGGGCCGGGGGGTGGTGCAGTGCAGTGGATGTCCCCGTGCAGCTGTACAGTGCTGGTGTGGTGAGTGGACCAGAAGGGGTTGGCCTTCTGATCTAGAGATAAGGTACAGGGTTCATCTCCCACAGGCTGCTGGCTCCTGCCTCCCAGGTCATGAACAGAATGACATCCCCACCATCTACTATATGACAGTGCTCTACAACTGGCCCTCAGGTTTACGAAAAGGAGCCTGACAACCAAGGACCTAACGAGAAGCAGCCCCAGGCCTGGGCCGGGTCAGCTGCCCTAAAAAGGCTGGGAATTGCTCCCTTGGGTCTTGCAGGAAGGCTGCCAGGGTAAAATCAACCCCTGGAGCAGAAAGGCAGCAGTCAACTGGAAGGCCTAGCAGATTGTAGCTACAATGCACTGCAGACCTCAGTGGCGTTAACAAAGGGGAGCGGCCAGTCCCTTTGGCCCCTTTGATGGGGAGCACCTTCCCACTACGTGCTGGGTAGGGCTGAGGGAGCCCTGGTGAGGGGTAGGGCAGGCCAGCTGTAGGCTAGGTGCAGATGTCCTTGGATCCCAGACACCCTGCTCCTCCCACCTACTCCTGGTGGCCACTGTGCTCCCCCAGGAGAGTCCCTGGTGCCCTGAGGCTGAAGGCAGCGCTAGAACCAAGGGGGCTCCAGGACCCAGAGGGGCAGGTACAGCAGTAGCCAGGCTTCCCTGGAGTAGGAAGAGCACCCATGACGTCGGTACTGTTGAAGGATCACATGCCCTTTGGACCTCATCCTAAAACCACAACTGACCTGATTCTAAGCCCTCCATTCAGCTCAGTTGTAGAGACCCTCAGGCTAGGGCACATGAAAAGGAAAGACAAGATGGACACAGCTTCGTGAACACATGATTTAAAGACACATGCCCCTCCCTGCTCCATAGCATCCCCCTCAGTCAGAGCAGCTTCTAGGCACCATCACTTTTTGGTCCAAAACTGCTTGTACTGCTCCACATCAAAGTCATCACCGAGCTCTGGCTCCTCCTCCTTCTCTTTGACCTGGGCCTCTCGTTTCCGGAACCGTGCACGCCTCTCCTCTGGGGACAGGGAGTCCAGGTCCACAGGCATCTGCGGGGAAGAAGGGATGTGTACATGGCTCAGGTGGAGGGTACCAGGATGTTCTCCAGGGTCTCCACTTCACCTTGTTATCATCTACCACACAGTTTAGGTCTTATGTGTTCTGTTGGGTTTTCTCTCCCTTTGAAGCTTTTATTTTTTAAAAAAACATTTTCTGCTTGTTTTCCCAAGACGTGATAGTTTTTTGAATACACAGCTCACTATTGCTTTCTCATCTTGGTGTGTGGAGTGAGCTCCAGGTCACCCTCCTCCCTCTCCTCAAACAATTCTGACCCATGACTCGCCTTCCCTCCCCAGTCCAGTGATGGTGGGTTCTGACCCCATGAACCCCTAGAGCAGTTTCTACAGGCTAAGACCTGCACCCCATGGGAGTGTTGGGGAAGGAAGCTTACTGTGAGTATCTGTCGAGGCTCCCGGTAGCGGATGTGGATGGTGGAACCATCCTGCTTGACCAGGAGCACAGGGTAGAGGCGTGCGTAGGTCTGCCGGTGCACTCGAGTGAGTGAGGCTCTGTTGCAATCAGCCCGCCAGGAGGACATATACAGTTCGCGGCGGCTCTCAAGGGCAGCCCCTGTCACCACACGCTGCCAGAGCAGGCTGCAGACACACACGTGCTGGTCAGCGGTTGGTGGCAGGACCAGAGTGGCCACGCAGCCCAACTCCTATGGGGGCACACAGCAACCCGCACCAGGGCAGGATGTGGTCAGAGTAGCTCCACCCCACATCCAGAAAGAGGCTGCAGGGGTGAGCCCACAAGGCTCTCAGATGGGTGAGGACAGAGTACACAGCCAGGACCCTGGTGGGTGTCTCTGGTGAGGCCTGGCCCCCATAGCTAGGGTGCTGGACTACAACACTGAGTGGGAAGCTGACTTCCAGGGGACTGCAAACCTGGTGCTTGGACTGACCATTTGAGTCCATCCCACGCCCCCTTCCCCATTCACACATTGAAGCCCTAACCCCCTGTGAGATGGTGTCAGGAGGTGGGACCTTTGGGTGGTGATTTGGATTAGATGAGGTCGTGAGGGTAGGGTCCCCCCAGAAGGATTGGTACCCTTATAAGAGGAAGAGACCAGAGAGCTAACTCTCTCCTCCATATGAGGACACTGCAAGAAGGCAGCCATCTCAGAACCAGGCAGAGAGACTTCACCAGAACCCTGCTGGCACCCTAATCTCAGACTTCCAGCTTTCATAAGCTGCCTGGTCTGTGGTGTTCTGCTAGGTCAGCCCAAGCAGACCGAGACACCTGGTCCACTTGGCTTCTGAGCGTGGTGGGTGCTCAGCCCTACCGCACACAGCAGAGCACATGCTCCAAGGTGACAGGAAAGGGCTAGGTACTCTTCATGCCCCACTCTACCCAGCCACGTGACCCCACATTTGTCTCACCCACTCGGGACCTCGATTTCCCTTTCCCAGCCTTTCCCTGTGACCCCCCCGCCCCAAAGTCCCTTCCAGGCTGGCTTTCATGCAAACTTGAATTCAGAGCCCCAGGCTGTGCCTCAGTCCGTTTCCTCACAGGTTTGAGGAAGAATGCGTTCAGACAAGTACCAGAACTTCCTGGAATTGTCGGGTACTCTGGACGTGACTGTCTTCTCCTGGCATTCTTTTGAACACTCACGGTGGACGGGCGTCCTGCACACTCACCATGTGCCTTTTCCCAAGCCCCTCACTGCATGGGCAGTCACATCAATGCAAACCTTCCCAACAGCCTCCCACCTGGTCCCCACTTCAATTCCAATTAAGCTCCCCTGCTTTGTGGGTAGTGATTCTAAAAACCTGATATTCACATCACTTCAGTAGCTCCCACCAGACTTTCAGGACTTCTCTCTCCACAAAGCAGCCAGCAATGAGCACATGGGCCATGCACAGCCACAGTATGGCAGCCTCTGCTTTGGTTTTGGTTCCCACCACCCCCTGCACTCCCCAGCTGACACCTCAGGCTGAGGGCCCATCTCCTCCACTAGTCTGATGGCCTGGGGCAAGAATTGCATCTTATTTGCTATCAAGTCCCAGATCCTCCCTAGCTAAGTGCTCGTAAATTTTGGCAAAATGAATCTGGTCCCTGCCTCCAGAAGTGCAAGACTGGAGAAAGGAGGTGGTGGGTAAACTCCAGCACCAGAGGAACCTGCAGTCAGTTGGGCAGGGCCTGCACCTAAGCAGCACCAGGGAGCCCAGGACACAGCCGCTCCGGAGAACCTGGGGTTGGTGACTCAGGAGGCTTCTGGAAGGGGCTGGAGTCGACCCTTGAGGGGAAAGAGTGGATG